TGGATCGCGGTCGACCGTCGCGGTCGATTGCCGAAGCGGGTTGGGCTGAGTTCTGGGTTCCAGATCCGTTTCGTTTGTGAGTTGTATAAATACCTCTAACTCATTTTTAGGGGGTGTGGGAGAGGATTTTAAGCTGAACTAAGAGGAGATTTGGGGCTTCTATTGTTGGAGCCATTTGGAGAGATTAAGAGGGCTTATTTGAGGGTTTTGGTAAGATTTATAACCCTAACTTGTTTTCCCTTTGATTTCTAATAGTAAAACTCCCCCTCCTTGCCCCGTGGACGTAGGCACATTGCCGAACCACGTATATCTTGTGTTCTTGCTGTGATTGGGTTGCTTGTGGCTATTGTGATCTATTTTGGTTCTTGTGTGTGCTATTGATTTTGTCGAATCGGGCTTCCGTGACGCACAACACTAAGATGTGTTGATTTTAATGTTAATGACTTGCATAGACATTTAAAGGTTGATGTGCTAATTAATGGCTTGAGATGTTGGGACCTTGCAGTGACAACTCAACCTCCGTTGATGGCAAACCCTTGCAACAAATTTCCGTTAAAGATATTTACGCTGTTGCAGTTTGAATCGGTGTTTGCTATGCTACAATTATCCACAATTTTGTTTAAAATTAGGTGCGCACTCAAAGTTTCAGCTAGAGCTCGAGACGTGAATTTGGAAGGTTGGGCACAAAGGAAAGGAAACCAAATGTTTTCTAGCTAGCAGAAGGATCGATGTTGCCACTGATTAATTGCTTGAGATGTAGCATGGTGGGATGCAGACTTGACTCGTTTACTTACCACTCCTTCAAATTCTAAAGATGTTTAGGATTTGCTTTTGGACATTTAAAGATGAGTGGAATATTCCGTTGTGTTCAGAAGGATAGTGGATACTAACAAATATTTTATTATTTCCTTTGTAGTACAATACTCAATACTCTCTCTTTTACAAACTCTCCCTATTATGAATTACTACACTACTATAATGTATTACAAATACATTGTACTACTCTTTCACTCTCACTTACTTTATTTCTCACTATTTTTTTATTTGCTTACTATTGGGATGGCTATCTCACTGAAGCCTGGAGGGCCTTTTATAGGCCTTATGAAATGATAGGTGTATACTGTAGGAGGTAGGTGGCTAAGGTGTTGGTTGGTGGGTTATATGGCTATAGTATAGGTTGGTGGGTCAGTGTTGAATTCAATATTCCCCCCAGCACCAACTTCTCTATACATGAGTCCAAAAGCACTTTGAAATTCTACGAATTTTTGAGCACTCAGTGCCTTGGTGAATATATCAGCTACTTGTTTATTCGTCCAGATCGACTTCATTATGATCTCCTCCTGGAGAACTTACTCTCGTAGAAAGTGATGATGTAATTCGATATGTTTCGTCCTAACATGAAAAACTGGATTCTCTTCCAATTGTATTATAGACTGATTATCACAATGCAAAGCTACCGAGTAGTTTGTGAACTGATGCAGATCCCTCATTAACTAAAAAAGCCACGTGCTTTCTTGAGCTGCCATTACTGCTGATCTATACTCCACCTCTATAGTTGATAGTGGCATCATTGACTATCTTTTGCTATGCCAAGATATAGCCACAAAACCGAGACTAAAGATGTATCCGAGTATCATGATCTCTAGCATCGTTAGCATCACAATATCTATAGACCTCATATTCTCCTCCTTTCTTATACATGAGACCATAGTTAACTGTACGTTTGACGTACCTTGGGATCTCTCGGATTGCTTCTAAGCAAGGCTTCTTTGGCTTCTGCATGTATCGGCTCATCACACAACCGCAAATGAAATATCTAGTCTTGTCATTGTTAGATAGATCAAGCTCCTAACTAGTCATGATACGTAATTGAATCTTCCACATCTTTTCCTTTATGTGCACATTGCCTCAGGTTTGTCTCTATCGATGTTGAGATTGACTTTCAGTTGAACATTCCGTACTTGAGCAACATGTCATTTGCATACTTTTCTTAGCAAATGAACAATCCATCCTTCCTTCGGTCGACCTCCAATTCGAGAAAATGTTTGAGCTCACCAAGTTTCGTCATTTGAAACCTGATCGAAAGATTTGTCCTTGTTATTTGGATTTCTGCTTTATCGTCTCTAGTGATGATTAAGTCATTCACATAGACCAACACGATTGCTAGCCTATTGTCAGTCTTCCTAACAAATAAACTAGAATCTGCAGGAGCAAGGGAGTAGCCACTTTGAATTAAAAACTCACCAATCTTGTCGTACCAAGCTCTTGGAGCTTGCTTCACTCCGTAAAGAGCTTTCTTTAGTTTGCAAACATAACCTTTCTTCTCCTTGCTCTCAAATCCCACGAGTTGTTCCACATAAATCTCTTGATCCATCTCACCGTGTAAAAATACGTTCTTCACGTCTATCTTCCAAAACTTTCAAGTGTTGCTAGCTGTTAGAGCTAGAAGAACTCGAACAGTTGTTATCTTGATAACTGTATTGAATGTCTCATCATAATCTAGTCCATACTGTTGAGAATCCTCGAGCCATCAATCACTCTTTGTATCTCTCAATTGACCCATCTGGCCGAGTCTTGTCCTTATAAAGCCATTTGCAAGAAATAGTTTGACATCCTTGGGCTTCAACACCATTTCCCAAGTTTGGTTCTGTCGTAGGGATTGAATTTCTTCTTCTGTTGCTTGTCTCCATTCAGCAGTTTTGTATGCTTTCTCAAAGATAGATGACTCATTCACATCTTCGATAATAGTAGCATTAGCATACTTAGGATTTGGCTTCCTTGGTCTAGTTGATCTTAAAGTTGTTCTACTGGTTCTTCTTCAATATCTTCTATCTGGTTAAGGTGTACTTCTTCCGATGTTATCTGATAAACACCGATCTTCCATGTATTGTCCTCCTTTAGGGATGTTGAAAAAACTTTGTTCTGTCTTCCATGCTTGATGTAATTCTTTTTCTTGACGTTGCTTTCCCAACTTCTCTTGTAGCCGATCCTCCAGATTTTTAGAATCTGGAAGCTCAACTTCTTGTGGAGCCCACCAAGATGAGGCTTCATCAAACACAAAAAATTTTGATGTGTAGCACCGTCCAGTTGTGAGATTATAGTATCTCCATCCTTTTCTTTCACTGTCATGTCATATAAAAATACACCTTACGGCTTTTTTTGAACTTACCACGTAAGTGATCAGGCACAAAGATATAACACCAACAACCAAAAACTCTAAAATCGATTACTGTTGGCTTAGTATTCCACCGCTTCTGAATTTGTGACATGAACTCTAATTTTGGTTGTGGTAGGTGATTGATCACGTGCACCACAACTTTCATACACTCCGCCCAAAGACATCCTAGCATGTTCTTAGCATGAAGCATGAGCGAGATGACGATTCTTCCTTTCTGCAACGTCATTCTGCTGCGGAGCATTTAGACATGTTAGTTATTGCCAAATCTTGTGCTACTTCAGGTAATCATAAAACTCCTTTGATGTGTACTCTCTCTCATGCCTTGTCTATGCATAGACAACGAATCTTTTTGCTAATTTCTCCTTCGACTTCTTCTCTGAATTGCTTGAATTTGGAGTGCATTTCATACTTTTCCTTCATAAAGTAAACTCAGACATATCTTGAGTAGTTATCAATGAAAATGATCACGTACTGCATCCCACCGATAGATTCTTGCTTCACTCGACCAAATTCATCTGAATGTACAAGCAATAAAGGTTCATCGGTTCTAAACTATGACTCCTGGCACGGTAATTGATACGTCTTACCGTACTGACAACCTCCGCGTACGGTCCCTCCTCGAATCTCAATGTGTGGAAGACCCTTCAACATTAACTTTTCTATCATGATCTTGAGCTTGTAATAGCTCACATGGCCAAGCTGAGAATGTCACAAATCAACCATCTCATTCTTTCGGGTTTAATCTATATATGTCAATTCCACTGACATCACATAGATAGATTTTACCTTCCGTCCCTCCATAACAAGGACTCTTGAGGGCTTCAAGTTGCTGTAGAATTTGACATCTTATGGTCTGAATACTACATGATTCTCGAAAGTCGTCAACTGAGACATTGATATGAGATTTTTCTGCATACCTGGGACATGCTACACATCTTGTAGCTAGATTTCATCTGAATTGAAGTGTGGCATGAACGTGGTCTTCCCAATATGAGCGATAGGCAATCTTGAATTATTAGCTATCACGACTCTCGACCGCCTGTATACTCCTTCATGTTGACAAGTTTCCCCTTGTCTCCCATCATGTGGTTGGAACAATAAGAATTGATGATCCAATCTTTAATATAGCTAATTTTTCTTTTCGATCTAAAACCGTTGTAAGTGTGAACTTCTATTGGAGGTTAGTGCCATATCAACAATCTCATCTTCGCCGACTTAGTAAGCAAATAAAAAATAGTGAGAAATAAAGTGAGGGAGAGTGAAAGAATAGTGTAGTGTGTTTTTAATACATTATATTAGTGCAATAGTTCATAATGGAGAGAGTTTGTAAAAGAGAATATTGAGTGTTGTACTACTAAAATAATAATAAAATATTTTTAGTATCCGCCACCATTCTAAATTCAACAAGTGTTATTAGAGTCATTCTCGTAAATCAACATATTCTTCGTGGACAAGCCTAGAAAATCTCTCTCTAAAATAGGCTCGACAAAGAGGGTGTTTGGGAAGGCTTATTTTTTTAAGCTTTTAAGTTATGATAGCTTTTAGTGGCTTTTTTGATAAAAATGATATAAAAATTGTTCGAGTAGAATAGTAATTTGTTTGGTCAAACCTAGCTTTTTTAAATAAGCTTATAAGTTAGTATTTTAAAAGCTGTGGTATACCAGCTTTTTAAAATGGGACTTATAAGGTAACTTATTAGGCATTTTACCAAACATTAGAAATGAAAAAGGTAGCTTAAAAGCTAGTTTGACAAAAAAAACAAGCATCCCCAAACACCAACCCTCGAAGTTGTGCTGCAATTTGCTCTTGGTTGTTAATGGAAGGACAAAAAAGAAAACGCGTCTAATGGTGGTTCTATAGAGCTATGCCCCTTGAAATAGAGAAATTATCTACATAGCTATGCCCTTGAAATACAGAAGTTCGGAGGACAATGGCTATTATCTACACAGCTATGCCCGTTGAACTAGAGAAATTCGAAGGGCAATAATCAAGCGCTTCGAAAATATCATGATGGTCTCATCACAATGGCTATCTGTAATGTATCGCAGGAAATACACCAAGACTGTTATGTGGGCTGGCGGTGGATTGAATTTGAAAATCATTTTCAAGGTGCACTTCGATGGATTCAAGCGTGCTATCCACAGGAGGATGTCAGTATTTTACTAGGAACCACGAGGGTAAAACTAGTTCAGGCTGCGTAACTGGTTGCAGCTTGATTTGGGTATACACAACTGAAACTTAAACCTCATAACCTTTTGTTTGAAGGAGTCATCCTTCGAACCATCCTTCAGCTTCAAAAGCCAGCCTCCTCAGATGATGATGTACTACGTTGCGAGCGTAATTTCGTTTTACAAGGGTATATTAGCTTAAGGAATTTACAAAAGCTTATTCCTTTCTCACAAGCACCATCAAGGTTTTTATTCAGTCTCTTCTTTAGATCTTTGGCGTTGTAATATTTGAAGAGACTTTCATGCTATCAAGACATTAAGGATCCAAAATTGGCGTTGTAATATTTGAAGAGACTTTCATGCAATCAAGACATTAAGGATCCTAAATCTTTCTTCACATGGAAATTCATCCAGTTCTTATATAAACGAAAAGATACAACAAATCACAACATTTTATGAAGTTGAAGACACTATGAGAACAAAAGATAACAGAAGTGCTCAAGTTTGACCGTAAAGCTTCATTCAAACCTGTCGGCATCCAATATGAGGGCAGTGTTAAATCAAACTTGCTCTTGATGCTTATGATTATGACAGAGCACAAGCAAATAACACTTGTTTCGTTATGCACATAATTTTGCTCTTTCTTAAGCCAATTTCACTGGATCAACTTGTCTGAAGTGACAAACATTATTTCTATACATGAACTTTGTAGGAAATATAATTGAAAAATGCATGTGAAGCACATCCACGTGAACTCCTACATTTCTTTGAACTAAAAATTCCTGTCACATTTATCTCTAAAAACATGGCTTGTCATCTATCAATCATACCCACAAAATCTTAGAAAACCCATAATGAATTCCCTACTCCATTGAACTGAAGCTTTCTATGATCAAACATGAAAAAAGTTTTAAGTACCCAGTGCAATCATTCATGAAATCTCCTAAACAGAAGTTCATAAAGCCAAAACAGAGCATTCATCCCTATCACTAAGAAGATAATGAGTGCAGGAAAATTCTTACTTGATGCATAAAACATGTCTGCAATAAAAATTCTCCTTGTTCCAACCAAGCCAACTAGCTTCTGTTCTTCCTCTCTTTAAGAAGAGAACAGAAGCTCAAGAGATGCAGAGAGAAAGAAAGAAAGGCCAACAGTTAATAACCCAAGCAAGGTTTGTCTTATTTAGGGTAAAAAACCCATCAAAGTTTGGATCAATGCAGGCCCCTCTTGAGGTTGTTTAATCAAGGTATTATGAGGTTTTTATGAGGAAAAGTAATAAAAAAAGACACAGAGAGAGAGGGTTTTGTCCCTCAACAAATGAAAAGAAAAGGTGAGGGCAGAAGAGAGGAGGAGATGTCCTGCGTTTTTGTGGTCTTTTTGAAAAGGGCGTCAATCACGTGATGATGATTTCTACGGTGATCTTTATTTATGTATTTGTTTGGTTGCTTGCTTTTAACAAAGATTAAAATAACTTAAATTTTAAGATTTCTTGAATTCTTTGACTCATTTTAATAAATACTAGTATTTCAGCGCACCCGATACATGCATGATATGAAACATAAGATTAGTGTTGGAATCAAATTATCAACAAAAAAAGGGATAGATATGATTATGAGTATAATTTTATCTATTTCTTTATTTTCCAAGTTTAAGGATTTTTTTCCCAAGTGTGAAGGTATTTCTTTTTCATTTGTCAAGTTTGAGAGTGCTTTTGTTGTTTTATTTAAATGTGAGAGCATTTTCTATTGATAAGGATTTTTCGAAATTATGAATGTGTTGGGGATTCGAAACAATCAATCGAACCCTTGCCCTTCCGGACCTTGTGTTGAAAGTAGGAAAGTAGGAATAAAACCACAAATAAAGATCTAACTTGCAAAAAACAGTAAGTGAGATGAACACACATATTTAACGAGGTTCGGCAACGTGCCTACGTCCTCGGAAGCCACACCACACAATCTTTTTATTAATTGAAGAAGAAAATACAAGCTCTCAAATAAGGGGTTAATCTCTCTGAGATTCTCTTTCTCTTTTCAGTCAAAAAGCTCTCTTTTTGATGTCTCTTTAAACCCTAAAAACGTTTGGGGTATATATAGAATCCTGAAACAAAACAGATTCCCAAACAGTTTAGGAAACTGTCTGGACGATTCACGGTCGACCGCCGTGCCAAGGCCGGTCGACCGACCAGAGAAAAATGTGTTTACAGGGTCCTGTGCACATTTGCGGTCGACCGCAGCGGCCACGCCGGTCGACCGGCCAGAGCGTCAGAAACTTCTCAGTTTCCTGCAGTGCACGCGGTCGACCGGATCTGCCACTGCGGTCGACCGCACAGTTACTAAAAAGTTCTTCCTTCAATCAACAAAAATCCTGGCGATCTCGCCGATCCTCGTAGTGTGGCTCCGCCTTCGTCTTCTACTCGTGAAGGCCAACTGAAGTTGCGCACAACTCCAGTTTCTCAATGGTGACTGCCTTCGTCAACATGTCCGTCGGATTTTGACTCCCCAAAATCTTCATAAAATGCAACTTTCCGTCCTCGATCAGCGAGCATATAAAATGGTATTTGACGTCGATGTGCTTCGTTCTGGCATGATATACTGGATTCTTGGCAAGATGTATAGCGTTCTGGCTATCAAAATAAAGAACTCCTCTCCCTTGCTTCAGATCCAACTCTTCCAAGCACCCGTTCAGCCAGATCATCTCCTTGCTTGCTTCAGTCACCGCGACATACTCAGCCTCGGTTGTAGACAAAGTCACAATCTTCTGCAGACGTGAGACCCAGCTCACTGCTGTCGACGCTAAGGTATAAACATACCCCGTGGTGCTTCGCCTCGTATCATGATCACCGGCGAAGTCCGCATCCACGTATCCCTGCAGCACCAACTCCTTCCTCCTGAAACATAGTGGCTTGTTCGTTGTTCCCCTCAAGTACCGCATTATCCACTTCACGGCCTCTCAATGTTGCTTTCCTGGATTGCTTGCAAATCTGCTCACAACTCCCACTGCATGAGCGATGTCCGGCCTTGTGCAAACCATCGCGTACATGAGACTCCCAATGGCCGAAGAATATGGCACCCTGCTCATATGCTCTCTATCTGCATCTGTCTTAGGCGATTGCTCCTCAGATAGCTTGAACTGACTTCCAAGGGGTGTGCTAACAATTTTAGCATTCTGCATGTTAAACCTCTGAAGTACCTTCTCAATGTATTCAGCTTGGTTCAATCTCAATATCCCTTCAGCTTCATCCCTACTGATTCGCATCCCTAGAATCTGCTTCACTGCACCCAGATCCTTCATTGCAAATTCTTTTGCTAGCTGCCTCTTCAAACTGTTTATCTCTTCTAAACACGGTCCTGCTACCAACATGTCATCAACATATAATAACAAAATAATAAAGCTGGACTCGAACCTTTTGAAATAACAGCAATGATCCGAATTGCATCTTCTGTAGCCATTGTTTTGCATGAAGTTATCAAACTTCTTATACCACTGTCTCGGAGCCTGTTTCAAACCATATAAGCTCTTCTTGAGCTTGCACACCATCTCTTCCTTTCCTTCTTCAATGAAGCCAACAGGCTGCTTCATGTAGATTTCTTCATCCAAGTCACCATGAAGAAAGGCAGTCTTCACATCTAACTGCTCAAGGAAGAGGTCTTCTGCAGCTACCAAACTCAACACCACTCTGATGGTTGTGAGTTTCACAACAGGGGAAAATATCTCCGTGTAGTCAACTCCTTCCCGCTGTTGAAACCCTTTCACTACTAATCTTGCCTTGAATCTCTTGCTTCCATCACTCTCCTGCTTGACCCGGTAGACCCATTTATTGTGCAAGACTTTCCTCTGTGCAGGTAGCTGGGCTAACTCCCATGTCTCATTAGTGAGTAGAGAATCCATCTCCTCCTGCATCGTATGCTCCCACTGCTGAGATTCACTCACTTGCACTGCCTCTTCATAACACTCCGGCTCTCCGCTATCTGTTAAGAGTAGATAATCAAGTGACGAGAGGTATTTGGGATTTGGTTTGGGTACCCTAGATGACCTCCTAGGCTCCACGCCCTGGGTAGTAGCTTCTGCACCTGTAGTCTCCTCCGTTCTACGGTCAGAACTGACATCGTCGCCCCCATCTGGAAGTTCCTCCAAATCCATGTACTCAGATCCACCTGTATCCGTAATGCTGCTCCCACTGCTTTGGCTATCCTTGGCATTATCCCTGTCCTTGTACATCACCTCCTCATTGAATATCACATCCCAGCTCTTGATGATCTTCCTGTTCTTCTCATCCCAAAGGCGATACCCGAACTCATCAATAGTGTATCCAATGAATGTGCACTTCTGTGACTTAGCTTCTAGCTTGTCCCTGATATGGTCACTGATATGAACATAAGCCACGCAACCAAATACCCGCAAGTGTGAGAGATTTATCTTCTTTCCACTCCAAACCTCCTCTGGAATCCCAAAATCTAATGGAACTGATGGCCCGTGATTAATAAGGTATGCTGCCGTATGCACCGCATCCGCCCAAAATGTCTTAGGCAGACCTGCATGTAATCGCATGCTCCGCGCACGCTCTGTCAAGGTCCTATTCATGCTCTCTGCAATGCCGTTCTGCTGCGGCATCCCTGAACCTCTTGAACTCCTCCAGCTCGTATTCTCCACCATTATCTGATCTCAAGCACTTCACCTTCAGATCCGTCTCGTTCTCAACCATGGCCTTCCACTTCTTGAAGTTCTCGAACACCTCTGACTTGTGCTTCATGAAGTAAACCCACACCTTCCTCGAGTGATCGTCGATAAAGGTGACGCAGTATCTCGAACCGCCAAAGAAGACACACTGGCTGGGCCCCATACATCTGTATGAATCAACTCTAGCTTCTGAGCCTTAGGTAGCCTTCCACCCTTCTGGAAACTAACTCTCTTCTGCTTCCCAAAGATGCAGTCTTCACAAACCCTGACTTCCACGGTGTCGATCCTGGTTAGCTTTCCTTGTGAATGTAGAATTTTCATCCCTTTCTCGCTCATGTGCCCTAGCCTATTGTGCCACAGATCTGTACTCTCCTTGCCAGCTGCAATTGCGAGGGTGTCACTCGCATGTGAAGTGAGGTAGAGAGTTCTCGTTTTATTGCCTCGGGCAACAACCATCGTACCGTTGGAGATTCTCCACGAATCCCCAGTGAATGTCAAAACGTAGCCTTCTGCTCCAAGCTGTCCCACCGAAACAAGATTCCTCTTCAGCTTCGGCACGTGTCTCACGTTCTTCAAATTCCACTTAGAGCCATTTATCTGTATCTGAACGTCGCCCTTTCCAACAATATTGCAAGGTTCATTATCCCCAAATATACTTTTCCAAAGTCCCCTGCTACATAGTTCTGAAGTAATTTCCTATTTGCAGTGGCGTGGAAAGAAGCTCCTGAGTCGATGACCCAAGAATCAGAATCGCTATCCATAGCAAGGATCAAGGCATCCTGCACGATATGAGCCTCCTGCTCACCCGCATCCTTCTTTGGTGCTTTACAGACCGAAGACATATGGCCCTCCTGGCCGCAGTTCCAACACTTCCCTTTGATAGACCTAACCTTCGAGTTCGGCCTCTTCTTCACTGATTTCGACCGATTCCTGTTCTGGTTCCCTTTCTTCTGGCTTCTGCCTCTCTGCTCGAAACTTAGGGCTGAACCTGAACCTTCTGATTCGGACGATTTCCTTCTAACCTCCTCGGATAGAATCATGCTAACAACCTCATTCAGCTTCAACTTCTCTTTCCCCGCCGAATTGCTGATTGCCGTCACACAACCTGCCCAACTATCCGGCAACTACGATAGTAGTAGAAGGGCCTGCACTTCGTTATTGAACGTGATGTCCACGGAGATAAGTTGATCAACAATCGTGTTGAACTCGCTGAGGTGCATCGTGAAGGACCGTCCTTCTGCCATCTTGAGGTTGAAAAGAGTTTTGACTAGATGCACCTTGTTTGCTGCCGACGGTTGCTCGTACATCTTCGCGAGCGCTTCCATAAGCCCCACCGTCGTCTTCTCCTTCAGAATATTGTGGGCTACTGATTTGGCGAGCGACAACCGGATTTGCCCTAGAGCCTTCCTATCCAGTACCTCCCAATCACCATCTGACTCCTCTTTCTTCTTTCCCTTTTCCTTGCCCAACAGCGGGCGATACAAGTCCTTCTGGTACAGATAGTCCTCCATCTGCGACTTCCAGTAGGCGAAATCCGATCCATCGAACTTCTCAATCTTTGATTTGCTTTCCTCTGCCATGGCTTTCACACAAATTGCTGAACGAAGCTCTGATACCAGTTGTTGGGGATTCGAAACAA